TTTAACTGTGCTAATGCACATACCTCTCACATTGGAAAGATGGCAGTAAAAAAAACAGAATAAGAAAAGGTGGGGAAAATAAAATAAATGGAATAATGAATAAAAGGTGAAAATAATTAAAGGAACCTTTTTTAAAAGGAAATGTTTAATAAAAATCTTTTAAAAAAACAAAAGAAGAAACAAGATGGCAGTTAAACAGAATTTATTTAAAAAAAAATATCAAAGATGACTTAAAGATGGTGCATCTTTTCTAGTTCATTTTTTTTCCATCAAACAATGAAATGGACAAAAACATATCTTTAAACAGAACAAACCCAGTATTTTGATAATTTGTTAAGCAAATAATACTCGCACATCCAAGTCTGTGTATGGCCTTCCTTTCTTTGCAGTGGCGTGAGCCGTACGAAACAACTTTTCCAGTTTATCTTGCTGTGCTTTCGTCATCGCCACGAGGGCCTTTGCAGCTGGCAACTCTCTTACCGTTGCTGCATTTGCAAGATCAGTCTTTTCAGCCTTCATGTGGCTCGCTGTTTTTTCGTGGTCTTTAACGTATTCGAGTTTGAATTTGTTTGTTCCCTTAACAAAACTCGATTCTGTCGTCTCATACTTCCGGCATACAACGCAGTACATCACTTCCTCCGCTTTGCTGTACTCGAGCCATCCTCTGCGCCTCCCGTCTTCTTTAAACCGCCAAGAATCATTCCACCTACGCACACGCTTCTCTGCTTTATACCGTTTCGAACGGTCTTGCTTCTCACCAGTTTTAAAGCATTTTGCCGGAGGTTTCATCAAGAAATCCCATCCCTGTGGTGGCGCCGCCATCCTCCTGCTTGCTTGTGTGTTTCTAGCGTGGTTCACGTGACTAGAGGCATGCAGTACGTGCACGATTCATCCAGTATGTGCACGAATCGTGGACGTACTGCACATAGAAGTGCAGTACGTGACTAGAGGCGTGCAGGTTCACGTGCGCAAAACGAAAATGGCGGCTTCCTACAGGGCGCGGCCAAGATGTAGGTGAAAGCCGGTGTGTAAATGACACATAAGGCTTGGGCGCTACCCGGGCGGTAAGTCGTCAATTGTAGCCCGAAGAGAAAATTTAGCGCCATTGGTGCTCGGGCGCTTTAAAGGTCCAACCCTGTACAGTCATACACAAAGTTATACACTCCCTCCCTCATGCTCACAAACTCCACAAACAAGAAGTAGAATATCTACGCCCATCCCTGGGGTACAACCATTACCGGTTCCCAGAGTTTGACCCTTTCTGCTGGGGTGCTGATGAGCAGGCTACCCCGCCCAACGCGGAGCACAGCAACCCACCACCCCAGACCCCAACCAGACGGCCAGATCTCCCTCCTAGCCTCCAGCCCCAGGAAGCCAAGCAACAGAGGTGTGCTAAGACCCCTAGTCTCCCTCCACCTGCTCCAATATAGTGTTAGTGCGTGTTGATGAGGTGTATTCCATGGCTGTGGTGAGCGGGCAGTGCAGGCATTGTCTGGCCTATGTCAGCTGATGCCACCAAATCACCCCACATGCACCCACAGCCCTCGGTGTCTAAGTGCAGTTTAAAATTGGAAGTGGGCACCAGCACTTGGGATGAAGCTGAGAAATCCCCCTACATAATGCCTTTGGATGTGCTCACTCCCAAGGCCCTAAGTGTGTGCGTGGAATGTCGTTGGTGGAAGTGTTTAAGGTGCAGATAAAATTGGGGGAGGGGGCAGGTTGCCACAGGAATGCGGAAATGGGGTCCATACCCACACTCCCTGACTTGTCCACCCGCCAAGGTCCTATGTGCATGTTTGTGTGATGATGTGAGGGAGCAGGAGGAGAAAAATATGTGGGGATGGGGAGGAACGGCTGGTTGGGCTTAGCCCTCCAGGGAGCCAGCTCCCCCACTGGCCCCAATAGGCACCTCTGTTGTCAGAATGCCACCCAGGGCATGGAGACCCCAGCCCATCCTGCCAGGGCCCAAAGCAGCAGCATTGCAGAGCCTCACGGAGTCCGTGGACACCAACCCAGCCCCACCCCAGCAGAATATCTACGCCCATCCCTACATTTGCACAACTACCAGAATATAAAAGACATAGGACATCCAGGTAAGGTTGAGTCCTCCTGGACCTCCCCCTCCCCTGTAATGGGACAGCAGACGAGCCAAGGTCTACCCGAGGCCCCAGAACCTCAGGGGTCTCAGGAACGTGCTGATTTTCGAATGGGGGGGTATTTTGGGTTTAGTGTGAAAATAAGTCTGGGACAGCAGCTGCGCTTCACAAAAGTGACATAATCAAAGCAGACACAGATTAAAACAAAAGGAAAAGGCCTATAAGTTCAGTGAACTTCAAATCCTTCCCACAGGAGGAAAGAATCACCATAAACCGGTTATGTGGTAAGTAGCAGCTATGCTAGAGGATAGGAGATTCTGTGGTGACGTCACATATGCAACGTACCGATGTCTGATTTAAAGTTGCGCTAACGGCAAACTTGTACAAGCTGATAAATCTTAACATACATGGCTGGTGTGGCCAACACCCATCACTACAGTTCATTTAAATATATGTACAACATACATCCAGGGCGTAAGGCAAAGCGGATTAGGAAATAATTCTTTTAGCCTCGTTAATTTTCTTTCATTTTTCCGATCTTCCAGTGCCCCATGAGCTGACCAGACAAGAGTCTGACATTTCAGCCGCATAATTGTGTTGTTTTATTTCATATTTTTATCAGCAGATCAGATCAGAAGATTCAATAAAACAATCAAATACTAAAATATCCAATAGCTGCAGCAGTCCTATTTTAAACCTTTAACAGAAAAAGAAACGAACAAGAAGACAAAAAAATACAACCTGCACCAAACCAAGGTTACGTCTGAGAAGGTAAGTTTATAAATGCAACACAGTGGTGCTGTGCTTTGAATACTGACTTTCAGTTCATCATTTGACTCCTCTTGAGAATCCTTAATGTTTTCTCCCACCCGCTGAACAGCGGGAATGTAAAGCTATGTTGCTAATGTTGCTGTTCCGTTCTTCTTTTAATGAGAATGGCAGACTAACGGCAACACGGCCCGTTGATGCCTCCATCAGGTCAGCTGTGTAAACAATGGTCCTTATCTTCATATTTGACACCCGCCACTGTGGCGTGTGCGTTGTGCCAATTAACCCACTACTTCATGAATTTACCTACATTTGGCTGGTGGCGGATGCTAATTTCAACGAAAAAAACAGAAAATGTCAAAGGTGTGGGACCATTTTTCACGTTGTAAGGCAGAAAATGTAGTCCAGTGTAAATACTGTAAAATGGATTTAGCCTACCACAACACTACATCCTCGATGCTGCAGCACCTGACCAGAAAACATCCACATGCAAATGCCACTTCCGCAGGCGGACTCGGAGGTCCGCTATATGTTCTGCGGACACTGCGACTTTTTCATTTGTAGCACTCTGTTCAGCTCACACTGTGCATCTGGTAGCAACACGTCGGATCTAAAATGTGCTTAAAAATAGCAGTTTTTACACAACACATTTGACTTTTTTTTGTGTTGTTATTGATGTCTGTTGTTCCTCGGGATTGCTGCTGGAGGACACAGGTATTTATGAGAGGAAAGCGAAAGTAAATAAATGTTTTGTATCTGTATAATTTGACATACCTTAAATCCTCTAATATTGGCCTGTATTTAATTAACTGCCGGGTATCATATTTTGGCCGGTGTCGGAGTCGACGGAGGTGAATAATGGCCGGATTTTTATTGTGGCCGGGTGGAATGTGATAACAAGCAAGTACGGGGGGCGGTTGTGTCATCGTCTCACTTTTGATTTGCCAGTGATAGACCGCAAGGGTAACTTTAACCGTGCGGAGACGAAGAGGAGGCGAAAATTTGATATCAAGTTCAAAGAGAACGTGCGCTGCAGAACACTGGGGAGTAGTAGTAGGGGTTGTATGAACTAGTCACTAGTCGACTTCACCGCTCTATAGTGACTTTTTATGCCTGTCATCGACTAGTCGCTGTCACGTGATAATGACCGGCAAGATGAAGTCCTCGGAAAAGACAGCAGCCTGCTGTCAGCAGGTGACAAGCTCCTGCACGTCGGGAGGCAACGCGCTGTGCCAGAGCGTCGGTACTGACACCCGCCGTAAAACAGGCATTTAACCAAATTGTGACGTTTACCCTCTTGCAATTTAACCTTCCCCTCACCCCCATCCTAACCTTAACCAGCTTGCGCATGCAAAGCTCTGATTGTTGACGCGCTCCAGACATCTGCGTCCTGAGCACGGCCACAGTAACATTATCAAATCAGGTGTCGCCACCTCAAAAACTAATTTAACACTCGATCGTTCATGTCTGCTCATTTCCTTTTATGTTTTTTGGTTTTTTATTCTTTTATTTGTGCCTGATGCGTTTCCTTGCTTTGGATCGGGGCGCATCACCTGTTTTGTCCTCGGTGACGCACCTAACTGATGTGGCCGGCAAGCACTCCACTGTTTTTGCGGTCGGTAGATCTTTTAGAACTGCAGTTCAAAGGAAACTCATAAGGTGAAAATATATGAACCCAGGTAGCAGTTTTTCTTTAGGATCGAGAGGAGATGCAGGAAGATAATAAACAGGCAGGACAGAAAAATAGTCAAATAAAATTTTTTCGTGATTTTTAGTGGTCGAAGGTTACCATTCTAGACTACTGCCTATGTTTATATACATGTACCTTTGTTATTATTTTTCTTAATTATTTTAAGTCTTGGTGCTGCTGTAACAAGTGGATTTCCTCACTGTGGGATCAATAAAGTCTATTCTATTGTGCTATGCAGTTAAAGTCAGATTTGCAGGTTAAAGACTGCTTCATTTTGACAATTGAAATGTTTATTTTGTGCATCTAAAATGACACTTATCCTGGCAGGGGGCCAAGAAAAGCCTGGTGGAATTAGGGTTAGCGCTGGAGAACCCCAGTCTGACCCTGTGTTTAGATGAACCTCATTCTGAGCAGGAACTAAACTTGCCGTCTTTTGTTTTTCCTAGAATCTTGTGCAGATTTGTCTCTGGAGGACTCCTATGACCGCTTAAATTTTCACCACTTTGACATTTCTCGCCTCCTGAAACACGGAGCGTCTCTGCTTGGATCAGCTGGAGCGGAGTTTGAGCTGCAAGATGACAAAACTGGTTTGTTTTTTCAATTGAACATAATCTTCAGTTTCAACTTGTTCATTTAGTCTTCATTTAAAGTCAGTTTTTAGCACACTGGAAACATTTGATGCATCCCTGTGAGCTGATGTTTTCTACTTTGATACGCCCTTTCAGCTATTTTTATTGAAGTTCTTGTATTTGTTTGGGCCCTCAGTATTTTCACTTTGCTCTAGCGTTCCACGCCAACGTTCACAATCTTCTCACCCCCACAATGTACTTTTCCACTATTTGTATAACCATGTTGCGTTTCCTCCTGACTTCCTTATGTTGTCTTTTCAGCTGAGATGGACCCCAAGGAGCGTCTTGGACGCCAGAGAAAGCTTCTTCAGAAGAAGCTGGGCCTGGACATGGGCGCTGCCATTGGAATGGACACAGAGGAGCTGTTTAATGATGAAGACCTGGACTGTTCCTGTCAAACGAGTGTGCTTAGACCTCAAGAAACCAAGGTTACAGCTGGCTGTAGCTCTCTCAACCATGTGGTGAGCTTCACTTCAGTGATTTTACCTTTTTTCTTTGCTACTGAATTATAAAGGAGTTTTAGAGCAATAAAACGTTTCTTCTGCATCCTTCTCTGCTGCCCTTAGAAACATTTTGGTTTCAAAAATTATCAATCAATCAAATTTATTTATAAAGCGCTTTTCAAATTAAGTGCTACTCAGAGTGCTTTAAAAAATGACCCCAGATTCCCATAACAGGTTAAAAACATTAACAGACATATGCAAGCACACGCACACACAAACACACAAACACACACACACACACACACACACACACACACACACACACACACACACACTCACACACACTCACACACACTCACACACACTCACACACACACACACTCACACACTCACACACTCACACACACACACTCACACACACACACACTCACACACACACACACTCACACACACACACACACACACTCACACACACTCACACACACACACACACACACACTCACACACACACAAGTAAAAATTATATTTGGCTGAGTCCAGAAGAGCCAAGTAAGGCAAGGAAACGCCATCAGAGGAGCCGTCTGCCCCGGCAGCATCAGGTCTTCCACACTAAATCAGGGTGCTCAGTGGAGGGGGAGCATAGACCCCCACCTATAGAGCGCCCAGGAAGCTACAGTCGACCACCGCTCCCGGGGCAGAGGGCCCCTACAAAGGAAACACCGGATTAAAATGAGTAAAAATATAATAAAAGAGCTAATATAAATGACAAAAGTTAGAAAATAAGTAATAAATAAAATCATATAGACAGTAAAATAATAATATTAAATAATAAAACTGTGCTAAAATATAATCATATAAAACATGCAAAGCAAGCAATAAAATATAATCATGTAAAATGAGAAATAAGACTGTAGTAAATATTTAGATAAAAGCTAACCTAAAAAGATGGGTCTTGACCCTGGACTTAAAAACATGAACGTTCTCTGCGGCCCTGAGGTCCTCTGGCAGCTCGTTCCAGAGGCGAGGGCCATAACACTGGAAGGACGCCTCGCCGTGAGTTTGTGTCCTGTCTTTAGGGATGACCAGGAGATGCCTGCCAGAGGAGCGCAGAGGCCGTGAGGGTTCATATTGTAAAAGCAGTTCTGTTAGATAAGAAGGCCCAAGACCATTAAGACACTTAAAAACCATTAGAAGAACCTTAAAATGGATCCTGAAACATACGGGGAGCCAATGCAATGATTCTAAAACTGGTGTCATGTGCTCCTGCCTCCTGGTCTTCATCAGGCCACGTGCTGCCGAATTTTGTATAGGGCTGGGGGTAAACGATTATTTTTAAAACGATTATTCTGACGATTATTTTATCGAATAGTCGACTATTCTAATGACTATTTAGAAAATTAATCTAATGATTATTTTTCTATTGCACAATTAACAAAAACCAGAAAATCTCAAATAAATTCCTCAAAAAAATTGATAAATTCTTACTGTAAGAGAATAAACACTACAGGCCTTCCATTTTGTATAACACTGCGTTTATTGTGTTGGTTGGTTATGTTCTGGTGACGTGTAGAACTTGGGAGTGCAGGCTGCTGCCTGAGAGGTGGTAGAAGATGGAGTGTCTCCATACTGCTTTGTTTTGGTCACTTATGTGCGTGAGGCGAGTGGTGTTACGGGTTAAACCAAACTCAGGTGATATTTTACACTAAACCGAAAACCCACAACACTCTAACTGTAATAAAAGGGAGATCTACACCACAAAAAAGATGAACTCTAAACCAAAACGTAACAGCTTATCCCAACGCAAGAAGCTGTTAGCGAAGATGCTAACAGTAGCTTTACCAACGTTAAGTTCAAGTTACCAAGTTTAAATAAACCAAAAACACCCAGCAGCAAACAGACCAGCACGGAGGAGAGACTGCTACCACCAAAACAGCTCTCCTAATGTCCGAAAGAAGCTCCTTTATGAAGGGAGAAACGCTCCCGGTGATTTTCTACATCTGCGATAGACACGAAGCAGCGCATCTGACCCCGGAAGTTGTTGTCCGTTGCCGGGAGACGAAGGGGCAAAACAGGAAAATAATCTAGTAGTGGACGGACGTTGTTCCGGGTCTTCGGTATTTGGCGGAGATGTTAGTGAAGGCGGAGAAGAGGGTGAACTAGAGGAAAAACAGGCAGATTCCTCCTCTATTTACAAACTCCTGGGGATGCAACAAGTGGGCGCGGTGCGTCGACTTCCGGATCTGACGTCGACAAATTTTTAGAATCGTGCCGTCGACTTTGTCGAGGCTTCGCTACAGCCCTAATTTTGTAGAAGTTGTAAGCCTGAGATGCTCTTTTTGGGAAGACCAGAAAGCAGGGCATTACAGTAGTCTATCCTACTGGTGATAAAAGCATGCATCAACGTCTCCGTATTGGCCCGAGAGAGAATGGGGCGGACTCTGGCGATGTTCTTTAGATGATAAAAACCTATTTTTGTGACATTTTTAATGTGTGGGATAAAAGTCAGCTCGGAGTCAAAAATCACACCCAGGTTCTTCACTTGTTCAGATGGATTAAAAGACAGAGATTGTAATTTCGATAAAAGCTTCTCTCTCTGGGCCTCAGGGCCACTGACTAAAACTTCAGTTTTGTCCTGGTTGAGCTGGAGAAAGTTCTCTGTAAGTAAGAAAGTAAGTAAAAGTTTATTTATATAGCGCCTTTCACAGATATAAATCACAAAGCGCTGTACAAAATGATAAAGATCAGGGCAAATACCTCTAACCAATAAAAGCATCAGAAAAACAATAGCAATGATAAACGTAGTAGGGCTGGGGGTAAACGATTATTTTTAAAACGATTATTCTGACGGTTATTTTATCGAATAGTCGACTATTCTAATGACTATTTAGAAAATTAATCTAATGATTATTTTTCTATTGCACAATTAACAAAAACCAGAAAATTTCAAATAAATTCCTCAAAAAAATTGATAAATTATTACTGTAAGAGAATAAACACTACGGGCCTTCCATTTTGTATAACACTGCTTTTATTGTGTTGCGGTTGGTTATGTTCTGGTGACGTGTAGAACTTGGGAGTTCAGGCTGCTGCCTGAGAGTAGGTAGAAGATGGAGTGTCTCCATGCTGCTTTGTTTTGGTCACTTATGTGCGTGAGGCGAGTGGTGTTACGACTCTTCCTGGGGAGTTTGGCTCGTGTGCAAAAAGGAAGGGACAATAACGGGATTTAAAAGTTAAAATGATGATCAGGTTTATTTACAACAACAAAAATCATAAATCTTTCCATCCACAGGTTGGGAATAATAAAACTAATTCTGCCTGTGGGGAATTAAAACAAAGTACAAATAAGTAGGGATCCAAACTCTAAACTGGGTGGTTAAACCAAACTCAAGGTGATATTTTAAACTAAACCGAAAACCCACAACACTCTAAATGTAATAAAAGAAAGATCTGCACCACAAAAAAGATTAACTCTAAACCAAAACGTAACCGCTTATCCCAACGCAAGAAGCTGTTAGCGAAGATGCTAACAGTAGCTTTACCAACGTTAAGTTCAAGTTACCAAGTTTAAATAAAACAAAAACACCCAGCAGCAAACAGACCAGCACGGAGGAGAGACTGCTACCACCAAAACAGCTCTCCTAATGTCCGAAAGAAGCTCCTTTATGAAGGGAGAAACGCTCCCGGTGATTTTCTACATCTGCGGTAGACACGAAGCAGCGCATCTGACCCCGGAAGTTGTTGTCCGTTGCCGGGAAACGAAGGCGGACAAAACAGGAAAATAATCTAGTAGTGGACAGACATTGTTCCCGTTATTGTCCCTTCCTTTTTGCACACGAGCCAAACTCCCCAGGAAGAGTCGTAAGACCACTCGCCTCACGCACATAAGTGACCAAAACAAAGCAGCATGGAGACACTCCATCTTCTACCTACTCTCAGGCAGCAGCCTGAACTCCCAAGTTCTACACGTCACCAGAACATAACCAACCGCAACACAATAAAAGCAGTGTTATACAAAATGGAAGGCCCGTAGTGTTTATTCTCTTACAGTAATAATTTATCAATTTTTTTGAGGAATTTATTTGAAATTTTCTGGTTTTTGTTAATTGTGCAATAGAAAAATAATCATTAGATTAATTTTCTAAATAGTCATTAGAATAGTCGACTATTCGATAAAATAACCGTCAGAATAATCGTTTTAAAAATAATCGTTTACCCCCAGCCCTACTACGTTTATCATTGCTATTGTTTTTCTGATGCTTTTATTGGTTAGAGGTATTTGCCCTGATCTTTATCATTTTGTACAGCGCTTTGTGATTTATATCTGTGAAAGGCGCTATATAAATAAACTTTTACTTACTTTCTTACTTACAGAGAACTTTCTCCAGCTCAACCAGGACAAAACTGAAGTTTTAGTCAGTGGTCCTGAGGCCCAGAGAGAGAAGCTTTTGTGGGACCCCGCACAATCCTGCCATCCAGGATTTAATGTCTAAAATACAGTTAAAAAGTGCATCCATTGACCGAGAGTCATCAGGAGACACGGAGATGTACAACTGTTTATCATCAGCATAACTGTGAAAGTTAACCCCGTGTCTCCTGATGACTCCGCCAAGAGGGAGCATATAAAGATTAAAAAGCACTGGGCCTAAAATTGAACCCTGGGGCACACCACATGTAAAACCATGGACCCTAGAGGAACAGGTATCCAAACTCACCATGAAAGTCCTGTCTGTGAGGTAGGATGTGAACCATCTATGTACAGCACCAGAGAGGCTGATCTGTTTTAAACGAGTTAAAAGAATAGTGTGGTCTACTGTATCGAAGGCAGCACTTAGATCCAGTAGAACCAACACTGTCAACTTCCGTTTATCATAATTTACTCTAAAATCATTTAAAATCTTCAGAAGGGCCGTCTCGGTGCTTTGGTTCACCCTAAAACCAGACTGAAATTTCTCTAGGACATTATTAGTGTTTATAAAATCATTTAGTTGATTTAAAACCAACTTTTCTAAAATTTTGCT